CAGCTAGAATTTCAAATGCAGCAGTCAATAATAACAACAAAAAACAACCCTTTAAAAGCTTATTTTGCCATTAGTAATTTTTGAAAAAATGACATACCAGACTAATGTCTTCCGGTACCTCTACTGACAGGCTCAAATAAGATTTTATCCACCGTAAAATACAGTGCATGCAATAGATTTGGTTATTTTACCAGGGTAATTCAACTGTATATAGAAATCTGGTTAACAGTGCAAACCGGAGCCATATGTCAAAAGGTCTCTAAATTTATTGCTCCAACTTTACATGCATGGGCTTCTATAACTTTTCAGATTTAACATTTGTGTGTATCACTGACATATGTAACATTTCAGGAACAATTTCACAGACTATTTTTGCAAATGTGGTATTAGGATATCTTAGGAGAACAGATTTTTTAAAAAATAGCATAAACTGCAGGCTTAGTCATCTTGGTATCTTCATCCTACTTTCAACCACTTAAATCAAAATTTTAACATGGAATTTCCTTAGAACAGAGGCCGAATTCCACACTTAAATCTTACAAAGGAAAAAAAAAAACACTCCTGCCATCTCTCTCATTTTCTATATTTAGCGTCTGTTCTTAAGAGGAGGAGACAGGATGAAACCTGAAATGCTTTTGATTGTAAATCTACATATTGCTGAGCCCCGTAAGAAAATCTGCCCCATGTATCCACCTCTGAAATCTCAGTCCCCCTACAAACACAGACAGTTGATTAATAATGAAGCCAGGAATACAAATAAACCCACTTCTAACACTGACTGGAGACACAGTAATCAAAGTGTTAAAAATTCATTTCATGCATCTCTCATTTGCCTCTCGGCTGATATTTATCACATAACTCTGTGAGAAAGTAGAGGCCTGAGATGCTCCAGATAAATGTCTCAATTAATTGTACCGAGGTAGACCCTCTTTGAGCTGAGCTGGAGCTGTGAGCTCTTTATTAAAAGCACTATTCTGCAGCCCGTAACCTTGTTCCTTGACTCCTCTCTAGTTTCCAATTTAAACAAGTCCCCATGTGGGCCGCTCTAAAGGGCTTTGTCTCCCCATCATTGTTCGGAGCACTGTGGCATCCTGCAAGCATGAAATCAGAGCTCATGAGCGCAGCCGTTCCCCAGGGAACGCCGGACGGCGCTGAAGGTCAAAGTCATGGGCTGGACCATCTGAAAGCGGCTGATCGCCGCGCTGCGACACAGCGAGCGGCCTGGGGGGCAGCGCGGAGAGCGACGAGGGGACTGTGGCTGAGCACATCTTAATTAAAGCCCAAAAACAGCAAAACAAACTGTTTGCTAGGCGGGCTGGCGCACGGCGCTTCAGGTTTGCTCCGCTAATGAATCCGTGTTGCTATTATTCTTTGAAATAACAGGACTCTCACTGGAGCTGGTAAGAGCCGCAGAGTATCTCTTCCCACTGCGCTTTCCCCTTTCAATAATCTGCCATCAATAATAAGGCAGTTGTTTTTTTAAAAATTATTATTCTTTTATTTTAGAGGAGATGAATACACCTAGGGCAATAAAGGGGACACAATTGTCGTCTGTTAAAATACACATTCCCACCACACCCCTCCTCTTTACAGGCAACTTTGCTGCAAAAATTACACATTTTATCTGACTATTGCTTACATTGCTACTACTGAATTTTGGAAAGGGGTATGGCTCGCCAAAACTCACAGGGGGAAGGTAAACAGGATATGTATTAATTTGAGAGGTCCACTGACATGCTGAATCCACTATAGCTTACATTCTACTTACTGTTACAAGATTTACTGTTATTTGTTATTATCAATATTAGAATATTTCTTAATTTAAGAGTTTCCTTGTAGACATATGTGCTGCAATGACAGTGCCCTACAAACAGCTGAATCCTTCAGGAGGGCTATGTGTCTTCTGGGAGAACTACAAGAAGGTGGAGGAGAAATAGAGACAAGTAAAAATGAAACTTCATTTAACTACAGCTTTATGGGGAAAAGAGCATTGCACTGAATACTTAGAACACAACAAAAGACATAAATGAAACTCTCAGGAAAAGAAGAAAAAGTAAACTGCATACTCCGTATTCATCCCATGCATTCCCTCATTCCATTTCTTAGATTATAATTTTAAATAAAATAAAATATGCATTTTTTTTTCCAGGAAATGACTTTTACTGTGATCACTATCTGCAGGAAGATGTAATTTTGCACTGGTGAAAACCTTTGGATTATTTCTGATTGATAGAAAGAGTCCTACGACTGTTGGAGAGATGTTATTTCAGGCGAAACGTCCCTATAAACAAAGACACTTCTTTTCAAGGCCCTGGCCTGAAGGACCCCCTGGTTTTTCAAGATCTCTCCAAAACTCAGCTGGATCCCAAGCACCTGCGGGAAACCTCTCAGTCCTTCAACAGATTCAACCCTTCTGCAGGTATAAGGAGGCTGAGGAGAACTTTATTTTACTTTCCCTCTCAAAATATGTTTTAAAGCCCAGGGCACTAACACATTGGGAACAGCCAGTTTTCATGACTTTCACGCTTCCCCAGACTGTGCAAACCTTCCCCAAACCTTTCCAAAACATCAGTCCACCCTAGCATCTTGTTGGAGGCATGGGCATATGTGCAAGGTGTAAACCTAGGCCTTAATCACCAACGTTAATCTCTCCCTATTTTTTTTTTTAATCTGTATTAACCTTAATGGTTTGAAGTGCACTGTCCAACACTGAAATATTGCGTCTGCAGAAAAAACTACCCTCAACTATCAACAGTTTATTAGGGACTTAACTGAAGTCACCGTCTGTAGTAGTATTCAGCTGAACAAGGCTACGGGCTTTCTGGGGAAAAGAGAAGAATTAAGGGTTTCATTAAAAAGTAATTTGTGCTTTTTACGCATTCATTCAATAGGAGTCTCAATTGCTCTTTATTCACAGTGAGCTAATACAGTATTACAATGCTTCCCAATGAATGTATGGTAACAAAAGAAAAATTTTACATTTCGAAAAGGGGAAAAAAAATCTTTGTAACTGTAGTAAGATTGATGACTACTTAAAAGATTACGGAAATCTTTTGCTGCCTATGCTTATGCTTAATGATGGAATATTATGGATTTTAAAAATCTATTCAGCCCAAACTAATAAATTTTGATTTATTACTTCTTATGAAAAAAAAAAAAAAAGCCTGAAAGTGAAATGGGATATGTTCACCAGACAGGAAGCTGCAGACATGACATGGGCCGTATACAGGTGTTTCATCTGCATTTCTGACTCAGAGAGGGTGAAAGATTAACTCTGAAAAAATTGATATGTTAAGAAGAGCAAGCTGGTCCTCAAATTTTACTTGCATAAGCAATCCCTAATCATTTAAGTTACATCACTGATGACAGTGCTCCCTGCTCATACTAATAAGTATTACTCCTTGAATAAAAGAGGAGGATAAAGATTTCTATAATCTTTGGAACTGTGCTTTATAGGCAGGATTATAAATCAAAAGTCACTAAATAACCACTTTATTAAAACTAATTTATAAATATTCCTGTTCAACTTTTTCATCTGAAAATAAATTATACATACAAGTTACTAAAAATAGCTATAAATTACTATAGGGTTTATAAAAAGCCTTTGCTCTCTTTGAAATACCAAATTTTACCATCCAAGCTATAAAATGATTTCCGTACTGTTTAAAATGCACAAAAATCTCTTTAAAAATCACTTCTACTTTATAAATGTGTTTTCTTGCTAGAGAAAAAATGTATTTAGGACAGGGGAAGATACAGGGTGCTCCTTCCAGTCTTCCTGAATGTCATTCTGAATGCAGCATCAGAAAATTTTGGTAGCTTTGTACATCTTTAATTGAATCAAACATATTTCCCCCCAAAATTTGTTCAACCAGCACAAATGACATGTCGAACTGGAAAAGTCGAAGACTGAACGAGGTCAGGGACTGAATTATCCCATTTGCCCCTGAATAACTTAATCTCTCTCTCTGTTCAGACCACATTGGATTATAAGGTCAAAGCAGAGTAAGGAATCTTTAGCAGCATTTCTCCAACCTCCACCAAAAATAGAATCTCCATTCTGTGTGCCACAAACTGGATGATCAGTTTCAAGAATAAAATATTTGTTCTGTTTTCTAACAAAAGCACAAAACCACTCCCTAATATTCACTCTGATTTACACAAAACCTTTAAAAAGTGAGCCACTTGCTATAAATTTACATCTGCTCTGGTAACAAAACATTCATGTACAAATTGCAATTTAAACAGTTAGAATAATATAAATGAGATTTTTATTTCTTTTTAACCACAACAGGGATGTGTATTTTCTCTCAGGAGATAACTTGAATATTTCTGAAGAAAAATGGTCAGTATGGCTATAGTATGTCTATATTTTAAAAAGCAGAAGGTTAGACTAGCCCACTTACCTTATGTAATTTAAAATAGGGATTTTTTTTAGAGTGTTTTCTTATTTCCCTTCTGAAACATATAAGCACTAGTTACCCCAAAAAAAAAAAAAAATCACTTGAAATGTTTGAAACCAAAAGCAGCCTTGCAAAGTATTTGACAAGTTCCAAAAAGTTATTCTGGCAACAGCTTTAAAGTGGTATCTAATAATACCTGCTAATATCTGATAATCTTTCCTTGCGCTGTCCTCTGGAATTTAGCTTTAATTTGAATAATTCTGTATGTTGCACCTACCTCAAAAAGACACCTTGAATATCTATCTCATGTAATGCCTTTGCAGCAGGACCTCTGATGGACAAAAGGGACCATTTCTCCTTTTCTCTCACATAACCTCTGAAAGGCTCTGCTAGCACTGGAGTGACTTGTTCTCTTGCTTACAAAGATCTGTTTGTCTGAGGAGTTTCTACTTAATGAGCAGGTGAGGGGACTGTGCAAACAGACAGGGATACTTAACTGAACTGCAGCTTCAGACATCTTTCTCCACTTTTAAAAAAAAAAAAAAACCACACTTTTCCTGTAACATTGACTATCCCCAAAACAAAACGAGTCCTTGCCTGTGACATCAGCTGCCATCAACGCTTCTGCTCGGATGACCTTCACCTGCAGAAATCCCACATCCTTCAGGTTATGGAAGATTTTCAGTGGACTCTAAATAACAAAAAGAATCATTCTAGATTAAAAAATGAAAAAAAAAAAGAAAATAGAAAAACAACGTTGATGGTTTCTTGCAACTTCCACTTAAACAGAAAGAAGCATAGCGAAAATGACTAAATATAATGCTAATCTTAGCATTTAATGCTAAACCTCTACTAGTATCTATCTCTACAACTGAATATCACCATTTTAAATGCTGTCAGCTTATTAAGAATGGTTACATTAATACGAACAATCAAATATTTCCTCTGAATACTTTTGTGAAATGCATGTTCCTCACATTTTCCTCATGATGGCTCCCAGAATATTCTGAATAACGAATTAGGGCCTCTGTTCTTTTTTTTTTTTTTTTTGCTCTTGTTTTAACAGTTGATCCAGATGTGCAAGTATTTTAACATGAACCATGCATCTAACAATAAGAGCAAAAATAATCAGAAGGTTCTAAAAATTATTATTTTTCAAAACAATCCCATGTGAAAAAATGCAAATTAACTAAAAGATGTGTCCAAGTACAGAATAAAAAAATCTTACATGTATTTCTTTTTCTCATTGATCAATTTCTTTTATAGCAATTTAAAATTTTTAAAAAAAGAAAAAAAAAAAGAAAACATATATGAAGAGTAAAATAACTTCTATTTATCCACCTTATGCAGTTTCAGAAAGCAGCTTGGAAATAGCATTCTGTTGCTGCTGCTTTTCTCAATTAACTACAGGTAGCTGACCAAGGGTACCACACCAGTTAGGAGTGATGTGCCAAACCTTTTAAGCTAAAATTTCAAATATAATTTAAGGGATGCAGAATTTCAAATCCTACAACATCAAATGTAATTCTGAATCCACCCTCAACTAATATCAAATCTGACGCTATCATTTAGTTTTAAGATAAATTAGGGCAGGAACTCCAAAAAAAAGGGAGACTAAAATTAGAGTTCCAGATACATACTAAAACATACATATATCTGGCCTAATTTTTGGTTCTTTTTGTAAGTCTTATTCATAAATGTTACCATGCACCTTTACCTCTAAAGTATTTTAAAATCTGGACTGGCACATTTAATGCCGGCCACTTCTGTGAATGTTCTAATATGAAGCAGGTGAAAACTTCTCAGCTGCTTTCAGTACAGTCCCGATTTCTAGGATACACAAACATCTGCTCAAACACCGGCTCAACAACGCTGATATTTGTTACGAGAGCAAAACTGTTAGGAAAAAATCAGAATGATGCTGCTGCTCTGAAAAATCAGTGGTGCTGCTTGACTGTAATATTAAAGGTGAATTCGTTGTATTGGATATATTTATAAATAACATGCTCATTAAGAAGTTGTACACATAATGTCATCTAGTGTTATTAATAAAGAGACAATTCTAACAGTCGAATCACGCCCTGATATTAATTTCAGAAGCCTCAACTATTTGCAGTGAAGGTCTGAACTTGGTAAATTAAACCCAGGGAATTGAGGTTATGTGTAGTACCCCACACTCATATACAGCGAGTACTCACCTATAAGCATGCCTATTATCACTAGATAATGCTTAATCATTTTTAATATGGTTATCACTTGAAATAGGGTTTTTGAAATGCTGATGTCCAACTTGAATCAGCCCACGCTCACACCTCCACTTACGAGCTGTGTGGCAGAGGTAGCCTTACAGGTAACAGCGGTGCTTTAATTCAAATGTGTGTTGGCACCAGCGCTCATTTATTACGGTAATCAAGTTCTGGAAGCTTTATATCAGGGCTGATACCATAAGAGACAATTCTCTTTTAACGCCCACATGAAGGCAAAACCTACCGCAGGCCAGGCCTTGCTGCTAAAGGACCCCCCCTTGCTATTTCCTCCCAGTGAGCTCTATCTTCAGAAAGGCTCCGTTCCTGCATTGCACTTGCCTACCTTTATTCACACCCCCCAGAATAATTATTTCTGAACTTTCAGTTTCAGCAAGTCAGCTGATTTAGCTTCATTTACTGCACACTGTTACAGGCAGGACTAGTGAAACAGTATACAAGGTTACTGCAGAGGCTCAAGCAGAAGCAAATGACTTTAATACCGTACTCTAAATACATAACTTTAAGCAATGATTTACCAGATGATATTCTGTCGTCTTTACTTATGATTATTGTTGAAGGCCTCCAAACCTTCTTGGTTTCTGAAGCCTGAAATTTCCATAGCAGAGGAATCTGTGATTTGCTGGGAATCTTTTCAGCCCTCAATAGATGGGAAAAGATTGAAATGCTCTAGAGATGAGCCCTCTTTATTTTTTTAATGAAAGGCTGTATAATATATTTTCTGTATGGCTGCAGCAGCAGCTGTCAGGGAGAGTATCTCAGTTCAGCTCTATTATGGGAGAAGCAATACCCCATCCTATGGCATCGAGATACACTGAGGGGCCAGTGCTGATTGACAGCTTGTCACCATGACATCTTATTCCATGTCTGTTATGGAGAAAATTAATGTCACACCACCAGCCTTATGACTCGCTGTCATCTTAGAATTGCTCACCTTTTATCAATGCTCTAAATAACATTTCAAGCCCATCGTCTCACAGTGGACAATCTGGTCAAGGGACATTAAATCGGATGACTGTGAAATGTCATAATAAAAATGGAATGCTAACAACTTCTCTAAACTAGCTCCTTGGGTTTTTAAACTGTGACAAGGGGGACCGCAGGTTCAGCACACCCGCTCGGAAAAGGTCACACAATCTCCCTTGCTCCGGACCCATTAATGTGCCCCCCTCCTCACCCCAAAAGGAATTAATCTTTGCAGACAATTGTGGTAAAATAATGGTTCAAACAGTAATGCCTGCTTAATTTGTAAGGCTCTGATGTTCAGCTACAAATGGTTAAATGACAGTAATAGAGTCATTTTCCAGGGTTATTTGATCTGATGGCAAGGTCAGCTCATTTACTGTTTTTAGCTGCAAGAAGGAAGCAGAAGACTTTTCTCAAATGGAGGTAAGGATTTTTGTTTTATTTGAGAATGACCCTCCATCCCTCCTCAAAATACAGCCACCAGGAGGGAATAACACATCTTGCTAATTGAACGTTATTTCTTTGCATCGGTAGACAGGGAAAAACGTAAATTCCTAAGTCAAACATCAGTGATAAAAAAAGAAAAAAAAAAAAAACTATTTTGAGTTTTTTTGGCCTTCGTTGTCTTTCTGCTGCTCTCCACAGGGTTGGCCACAAGTCATTTTAATAAAGTGGCACAGTTCCTCAAAAGTCATAGAAATACTAAATTTTCTAACTACAGAACTGGAGAAACTTATGCTTCTGCAATAAGAACATTTTCGAAAGTATTAATATATCCATTTGAAAACACTCATGTTTTTTCCCCTTAAAAAAGCCACACAGCAATAAATATGTAAGAGAGTGGAATAAATGAATGAATCTTATATCACACAATCATGCTTTACATTAGGAAGAAAAATAGAGAATACAGGAAATGTGAGTAGTAATACAGAGTCATAACATCATTCTATATTGCTACTAAACTATCAAAACCATCAGTATCGCTTGACTCCTATCCTATCATCAAACACAATAGTCCACAGAGTATTGTTACTCTTGGTAGAAAAAAAAAAAAAGAAAAAGTATGTCATTTCAAAAACTGATCCACCAGAAATTTACCATATTTACAAAGATCACTTCTGACAACTACAGGCTGTCTTAGTGAATTCCAAAATGTGAAATAATTCTCTTAATTGTAATTATTTTTCAAATACGGGGCACAATACTTTAGCTCTCAGCTGATTTAGAAATATAATGTTTAGCCTCACTAAGTCACCTCTATTAAACTGTGTTTATGATAACACTATTGGTGTATGAGTTGTACAAGCATTAGCAGACAGCTGATTCAGTGGAGATAGCCAGAATAAATTTGCTGAAGCGCACATCCTGCTAATCTGTTTGAAGAATATTGTACAGCATTAGTACTAGCACTTCATGTTATCTGCACAGCCTGATAAGGTACATCTTTATTAAATTCAGTTATTGAAAGGATGTCAGTCATGGAATAGGAATATTTTAAAAACTGGAAAAAAAAAATAAGCGGCTCTTTGTTAGTCAGAGCCTGGTTTAATGGCTGAGTGTCTAGAGAAGCCTTTCTAAACACCTGGCAGCATTGTACAATAAAAGCTTTGTAATTTTAAGTGGAAATAGCTTCCCACCCCCCCACCTCAAGCACAGCGAGACAGTTACATTTAGTGATTTAGGTATTAATAAGCGCTGGAGTAAGAGCTCCCCTCTCTGTTGCTTTGATAAAACTACACATCGCTGTGCAATGCGAGGATGCTGGGAAATAAAAAATAATTTGCTTTGTAACATTCTGAAATGGAAATATTGCTTAAAAGGGTCACACAAAACACTAATTTCCAGCCCCTAATGTCCAGGTAAAAGATAAGATTTCCTGTCCTTAGTATGCTCTTAAAAAAGTTTTAGTAGAGAAGCAACTATTGGCATTGCAAATCAGTTAGTAAGAATACACACTAGAAAACGTAACAGTCCCTATGTAACACCATAGTTATTTTCTCCTTGGTTTTAAAAAAAATGCATTAAAAATCTCTAAGGCAATAAAATTAACTTCTTTAGGTCATATAAACAACACAGCTGAATTACTATGCACACAAAAGCTCATAGGACAAACACGATTTGCAGACTTCCTGATGCTATCTGTATCAGCAGCAAAACTGTTAACTTGCTTAAAAAGTTATCTCTCAATGGGGGATGTGCCTAGATTTTTTTGCCCCTCTGATCCCTCTTAAGCATTTCTGCAAGGCACTACACAAACAAAGGGCAAGAGAGAAGGACGCCATACATATCTCTTTACTATCTCCTCGCGCTCTTTCTGGTCCTCCAAGGAGTCAGGTGAGAGGTCAGAGATGGTGACGGCAGCCGAGGCCGTCAGGGTGACCAGCAGCACCAGGAACCCCTCTCCTTCTTCCAGTGGCAGCCTCAGCTTGTGAGTCTGCTCTTTGGAAAGGTTCGATAGGTCAACTTGGCACCTAAAAACAAACATTCTGAGTCAATATGTGGTTTTCTTCACGACATTAAACAAAAGCCTCCTGGCTTATTTGCATTCAACTAGATCTAAACAGAAAGAAAGAAAAAAAATCAGTAGAATTTCCTTCTTCGTGACCTTCTCTTTCTTTTTGCTGCTGCTGTTCTTTTTTAAAGCAAGAAGTCACTATGAACAATAAAAGTACTAAAAAGAACATACAGACTCTAGAGACTTTCATAGCTAAAATCCATTACTTTGGTCCACCTCCCCATCGCCTATGATTCAGATGCAAATTGCCCTTTTCAATCATTCTTCTTGTGTAAAAATAAAACACAAGTTTCAGTGAGAGTGTTTTTGAAACCATTCCTCTAAAAGATTAAAGATCTTCATTAAAACAAAACAAAAAAAATGTTAACTTTGTTGTGATGGAGCTAACCAGATTGAACATGGGAAAACAAGACCTGAGTGCCACCCAGAAAGGCTAAACTCTCTTGTAGCAGGCTGTGCATGGCTCAGGGTCAAAGTTTTATGCTAGTGTCCAGAAGAAAATTTGACACTGTCATGCTCTCTAGATAGCAAATTGTCTCATATTGTATTGAACAGGGTCTACTTACAATCTCAGGAAGAGAGAGGCTGAAGAAAATCCACTCTTGATCTCTCCCTGAATAACCTTGGCTGCATAGACTATATCATATGCTAAACAATGAAGAATGACACCATGCATGCAGGCCAGCAGAAATATCTCTACAAGTATTGAAAGAGCATTAAAAATAACAGACAAAGACAGAAACGAAACCATTGTTTCTTGCAAACAGGTAACCATAAATTTTTAATCAACACACAAATACCTTTGGGTCAGCAGTTCCACTCTGCACACGTTGGAATTTGCAATATTTTTATATGTATGTGGCAAAAGTTTGAACTTTCCTAAGACTGAAACTCTGAGCACGTCTAGAAATGCAACAACCCTTTCAAGTGAAATGCCATTTTGCACTGTTTTAGAATTCCTGTGAAAACGCATTATTTACAAAATGACACACTATTTACAATACTTCTACTTATATCCTCCCCCATTAATATTTTGCCAATGCTACCCCAGGAACACAAAATTGAAATAAAGTAAATATATTCTATATACAGCTAAAGCACCGAATGCTCTAGTTTTAGCAGTAATTATTTAATGCGACAAGCACGTGTTCTGTGTGCCACTCTCACTAAGCTAAACATCTAGCAAACTCTTTTCATAAAATGTCAATTGATTTTGAAGAGAAAGATAATGTGGTGACCGCAGGGCCAATAAATGGAGGAAAAGGTGGCAGACATGAATAAATAGGCATTTAAGGGCAGGAAATAGCCAATTATGGGAATAAACACGGCCTCACAAACCAGGCACTCTGCTATCACAGACAGATTAGATTTGCTGCAGATTTTTTGTTTATTTTTAAACATTTAATGTTTGTTGTGTTACTGTCAAAATTAAACTACTGCAAATCTCTGAGTTGCAAGGTACAATTCACTCACAACAAAAAATGAGTTTAACGCTTACTGTTTATTTTGGACTCTTCAGAAAGGAAGGAGTTAGAAATGAAACAAAAAAGAGAAAGGAAAGACTGAAGGTGTTGCAGTCAGTGTAGACTCACGGGCAACACAGATTCAGCATATGTATACAGACTCTAAATTTTTGTTTAGGCTGCAGTGAGGCCTGTAAAGCCTTCCTTAACATAATAAATGATGTTATGAAGCATTTAAAGTGGAGTAGGTTAAGAAAGAAGCCCTTAGTGCTAAATATTCTTTGATATTTATTTCAAAACAGACACTCTGCAGAAATGCATTTCTGCAACCAAACTACTGTCTTGACAAATAATCCTTGGAGGAGTCAGTTTAAACACTCTTAAAGTCAGTAAAAGAATCCAAGCCTTTATGACACAATGAATGCGCAAGCTGCCCAAAGCTTCCCAAAAATGGAAACCAAAAGCCATTGTCACACCGACAAAAAAAAAAAAAAGATCCTAATTACACAATATCTAAAAGAAAGAGATCTCTATTCTGCTTGGTCGATCTTTGTGAACAATCAGTCACTAGTTTGTTTCCTGAAATCATACCATGGGATAGGGAGAGATTTGGAAAACTTTTGCTAACAAAAACCTTACTCATTTTACAGGAAAACATAATCCAAATGGCCCTCAAATAATTTGATGAAAAAAATGAGGTTATTGCATTAAGAAATGTCACCGCTGCGCTTAACAGAAACCTAGACTAAATGTCTCACTGTGCTTGAAACATCCAGTGGAAACACATCTCTCATGCTGTATTAGGTGCCCTCCTGTGGGTGAGGAGAGGCCGCCAGCTCGCAACCGGACACGTGAAGATGCTGCGTTCATCACGAGCCAAAGGCATCGGCATCACTCACACACCATAGAAAGATTAAACCTCCCAACCTATACACACTAAAGGAAAAACGGTGATTTTTCCAGTAATTACAGACTTTGGGCTTTTGGTTTGCTCTTTTGTAAAAACGAAATTCTGTGGATAGTTCTGCGCTTAGTTTTATTGCTGGCTCTCACCAGAGCTTTGCATGGGACTGAAACAGCGATGGGGACCTCTTTCCAGTGAGCCTAGGCACTAGCCCTATCCCAGAATGATCTCTGCAATCCTCAGTAGAAAACCCTAAATTTAATTTTATGGATTAAATATCCTCATAAAAATTGGAATTCATAAAAGACATTAGAAACCAACTAGTTTGGGAAAGTTTGAGGGCTATTGCCCCTTTTAGATTTTAAGATAGTGTTTTGTCATCAAGACAGACATGAAAAATGTTACGTATAAAGTCATACATAGGTGAGATGGACTCAATATCTTCCCTCCTTTAAGGAAGAATTATTTCAAACTTTGAAGCTTTAGCAATGCGACTTTTATGCTTTTTAAAGCAGAAAACACACTTTAAAAGTTATTGGCAAATGTGATTGCATGGCAATGGCAACTGCTGTGTAGTTGACATTTCTGTCCCATAATCACAGTATGTTTGATCTCCTAAAATAAATATTACTGAGGATTTTTTTGAATTTATACACGTCTAAATTGCAGCTTACAATTTTGCCTTCCCCAGAGAAAAAAATGAACTTCTGCAGCATGAGAAGCTTCAATGGGAAGTGAAAACAGGATGACTACGCTGCTTTTTAAAGACACCTTCCACTGCTTCCCCACATTTCTCTGCCCTAGCACAAAGAACACTGAAGAAGCAGTGAGAACAGATGAAGAAACACTGCAAAAGAGAACTGATATTTCTAAAGTCAGACCGTTTATTGTTTTTGTGTTCCAAACTCCACTCTTCGATAAGTTGATATGGATGCAATAGCTTAAAATCTATTACAACTGTTTTTCCTAACTGCAAAACTTCCAGAAAGCAGATGTTGCCAAAGAAGCTGACTGTCTTCATAAAGGCTCTGCAGTTAAGAGCACAGCTGGAGGCCCAGACTCCGCTCAGTTAAGAGATGGCCTTAAACATCTGCCGTCTACAACGATTTCCATGCAGAACAAAGATGCTTTGAGGATGAAGGAAAACTTGCATATTAGCTGGAAGTGGTGCACAACAAGCAGGCAGTGATAGAAATCTGTCTTCCATTCTCAGCTAGAGACCATGACGAATTATAGCCATATAGTCATTTTGAGAGGGCCATAACTTGCCTATGACCTGAATCTTATAGAAAAAAAAAGGAGATAATAGTGATTTGAGGAGTATATAGTTTCTTATGGAATTAGTATTCACATGCTGTTGGTGAAAGAGGTTCACTACCAAAAAAAGATCACTGTTAGGAATTACAGCATAGCTATACATAACATTTCAGTAAATTTTAACTTTTACGGAGTTCTTAGCTGGAGTATTTTGAATTATTCTGCTGCTGAGCCTACCTGCACGCTACATGGTCCTTTCAGAGCACATCTCCGACAGCATGACAAATTCTTTTCTTAGGAGCATTGGAAAAATCGCTCTGCCTAACTGACAGATTCAGGCAGAGAATTGGAGATATGTCCCCCCCAGTAGCAGCCCTGCACACGCCTGCACTGTCAGACATCAGGTGGATATAGATATTCAGGCCTTGATACATCAGAGAGAAGAAAAATCATGTAAGCTCCTCAAGCTCACATGCTAAAGTATTACAGATAAGTAACTGCAGAAACATGGTACAGCTTCCAGAAGGGAAGATTTTAAGATTTAAGGGGAATCCACGACTTCCTTTGAAAATGTGTTCAATGTGTTAATCACCAACACCATTAGAAATATATTCCTGATTTATTTCTAATTTGAATATATCTGGCCTTAGGTTCTTTTTATGCCTTTCTCTGCTACGTGAAAAAAGCCTTTAGCACCCCATATCTTGTTCTAGTGAAGGTACTCATATACCATAATCACATCTCTTCTTGATCTTCCTTTTGATATGCTAAGCAGAATCAGCTCCCTATATATTTCCTTGGAACACATTTTCCACAGCCCTCAAATGACTTTTTGTAACTTTTCTGATCCAGGGAGATTTCCCTGCAACCTTTTTAAAGTGGAAACCAGAACTATATGTAGTATTTTATTATCAGCATGTGGAAGAGGTACAAATCACCTCCCTCTCTAGTTCTAACAGAAGCAG